TGATCACGCCCTCTTAAACCAATCACTGAACTGATCATGTGCCTGGACCTCTGCCCCTAATTTTGCCCTTAAAAATGCATGTGGGGAACATCTCAGGGAGACCAGATCTTTTCAGCATGAGTTGCCCGCTCTCCTTGCTTTGCACTTTGCAATAAAGCTATACTTTCCTTCATCACACCATGTGCCTATGGCTTGGTTTTATAGCGCTTGGGCGAGCGAACCTGATTTGAGTTTGGTAACACTAGGTCACTCATATTCTGCTTAGAAATAAACCACATTGGGGCCAACATAATGGCTATGTTGTTGGGCTCCCATGAAGTCGACCGTAGTTCAAGTCCTAGACCAGGTGGCTTAAACTCATGTCGGGCGCGTGTGCATGCCCAAGATCCTGAGAGGAGAATGGAGGAGAAGGGATTGTGGCATGGCCAACCCCCCGGGGGATGATTTCTTGCTTTCTGTCTCTTTCTCTGGCTTTCTGGCCAGCACATGTACCCTATAGCAAAAACCTCTCCAAAAAAAAATTCTCAAAGTCCTCTCTCCTTTTCCTCACTGGCTGAGATCCCGTAGGTCCCAGCTCTGACTGAAGGAGGACGAAATAAGCCGATTATTTATTTATTATTAATTATTATTATTTTTTAGAGTTTGTTATTTTTTATCGACAAGATGGCAACTGTGACTGTACCTAGAGGTGAACTGGAGGTCGTCCAGGATGTCGCTTCAAATCCAGATTCTGGTACCAGCAGTGAGCCATCAGTGTCCTTTACTTCTCTGCGCTTCTCCTCGGGAAAGATATTGTAAGTCCTCTGGCCCCAGACCTCAAAACATTGGGTAGACTGTCTAGCTTATTTCTAAGCTGGTCTTGCTTGTTCATCTGTCTTTGTTTGGGGTAACCCAGGTTTGCTCCCCTCCGAGCAAGGAGCAGCGTTTGCTCTCTCTGAGCAAGGTGTAGGCTTTTGTTCTCCTCTGGGTAGTTAGGAAAACCAAATGTATGAAAGTGCATTAATTACATATGAATTCTAAAGGGTCTTCCTCCCTTGCTTTCTTAAAACTGCTTCAGTTGGCTGCCCTGTGTTTGCACTGGAGAAACTGAACTGTCGTATTCCCAGGCAAATGAGAGACTGAGCCTCTCAGCTCTGAAGATAAAGGGCACTTGCTCCTCACTGAGGTTTGGCACCCAGGTGACTGGGAGCCATAGGGAAGTGGCTGGAGCCCGTGAGATTTCCTCCTCTGAGGACTAGTAGCGGCCCTATAGGGAATCCCAAGCATAATTAGTAACAGGTTCATTCAATAAACACAAAATAAAAGCAGATCTCTCAAGTGTTGTTGGCCTCCTTCAAGGGTGCTAAATTCTTGAAGGAAACTGAGACATGTAAGAAGAGTGATCTCGACACGGGAATGGCATTTAGTGGAGAGATGCTCAAAAAAAAGCAGCATGCTGGTCTACCACATTAAAATCCTTAGATTTCCACAGGCCAGTTTCTCTTTTTAAAATGGATTAAAAAAGAGAAACATGGGAAATAAGACAGTTCAAAAGGAGCAAAGAGGATGACCCCCTTTGGGGCATGACAGCTAGCTTTATGTATAACATAAATGGCACCTCGACCTGTGGGTATTTAGATAAATAAATGGGAAGAATCACAAAAGATGATCTTGGTTAGAATTTTTTTTAGAGGTTTTTGTTATTGGGCGTGTGCACTCGCCAGAAAGAGACAGACAGAAAGCAAGAAACCATCCCCCAGGGGGGATGGCCACACCACAATCCCTTCTCCATTCTCCTATCGGGATCTTGGGCACGCATGCACACACGCCCTGCTAAGCTACCGGATCTGGGACTTGAACTGCAGTTGACTACATGGGAGTCCAGCGACATAGCCATTATGCCATCTGCTGGTCCCCCATATATTAATTTTGAAGTTGGAAAGTTTTTATTTTTCCTTGAAAGATAAACTGAGGGTCCATCCCTTTTATTTTTCCTTCTCTTTTTCTTTTTGCTTGTTCAGAGTTTTAAGATAACGATATAGGAAAATTGCAGGAAGTTGGGGTATATGGGTGCTACACCCAGTACAGGAACAAGAGTTAATTGAATTATTTTGTGTCATGCTCATGAGGAAATAGAGACACAGACAGAAGAAATACTGAAGTAGAAAGTTAGGAGAGGGAAGAAATAGCAGAGCTTCCAGGCTGGGAATGAGTTATAGAAAAAGGGTTGCCACTGGAAAACTGAGACAAGGTTTATTTTTTTCTTTTAAAAGTTCAGCTTCTTAGAAGAGGAACAGCTTGTATAAAGGTTGGCTATCATTGAGAAAAGCCCAGCTCATTGATAAACTAACTGCTGCTCAAAGGGGCTTGTAGGGAGGGAGTCCCCTGAAAGGTGTACTGCTATGGAAAGGGAAGATTGAGCTACAGCGCATAAAAAAATACAAAAGTAAAGATTTCTAATAGGGAGGATATTCACCCCCAAACCTGAAAGGCTACCAGAGAAGGCCAGCTGCCTTCGGCATGAAGTTAGGTATTGACATTTAGCCTGGAGGTTAGTAGAATTTTTTTTAGTAAGGGAAGTTCTGTCATTAGTATCTGGCTTCTTTCTTTTAAAAAAAATATTTAATTTTATTTATTCATTTATTTTAATTTGACCAGAGAAAGATATACAGAGAGAGAGAGAGAAAGTGAGAAAGCAAACCACCAGGTCTGGTATTTGAACCGCAGTTGGCCATGTGGGAGTGTCCAGTGCCCTGACCACCATGCCACCTGCTAGTCCCCAGTATCTGGTTTCTTTATTGTGGTTTCTTACATTTTGCTTTTCCTGCACTTTGCATGTGCCTCACTGAGAGACTTAATCTCATCTCACATGTCTAGGGTAGTCTTTGAAGGCCTTCATCTCTGGATGAACTTCCTAGATTTTGACTTCATGTTCCATTCCAGTGGTGAATTTTCTGTGTGTATATCTGGGATATCAGAAGGATAACTACCTTGTTGCCATGAGCCAGGTAGAAAGGGTACTTTCAAGTACATGTGACTTAAATAAATAAGCCTGCTACAAATTTAAAAGTAAAATCCATAAAATAAAAATCATAATTGTCAGCCTAGGATTTTACCAAGCAACATACTTGTTTTGATATTATTGATTTAATAAAAATGGTGTTGCAGAAAACCAGTCTCAGAAGTGGAAAGCAGCACTTCGAGAGATTGGGAGAACCGTTTATTACGTTGGCAGGCACAGAGGAGTTAACACTCTGAATCTCCAGCCTCCACTGGGGATTGAACATGGTCTGTTATGGGAGAATTGGGGAAGGGGCTCAGAACTACCTTACACAGCCTCAAAGGGAGGAGGCAGAGAAGCAAGAAGTCCAATCTATTCAAGGTGCTAATCTAGTCAAGGTTTTCAGGTTACCCTATAGCTCTGGGGAGGGGCAGCAAGTTTGCTGGAGGGCAGAAACCTCAGGAAGCTATCAGCCCTGAGTTATCCATGAATTCAGGGTCCCTCCATATCAATAGATTTCAAAATTATCAGCAACTTAAATATCTAATAGCCATATGGTATACATATTTAACATGTTATCAAAAGTTAATTGGGTAACAACTGGCTTTCCGGTATCTTTTGATATTTAGATAGCCCAGGCATATAGTTTTTAAAGATAAATCTGGTAATTATAAGTATGATAAAATTTTCAGGTATTTTTAGATAACAAAAGGAATTCACTCTGGGACCAGCAGTTGGTGTAATGGCTATTTTGCTGGACTCCCACGTAGTCAACTGAAGTTCAAGTCCCGGACCAGGTAGCTTAAACTCAGCTCAGGGCATATGTGCATGCATGCCCAGGATCCCAAGAGAATATTGTGGTATGGCCATCCCCTTGGGGGTGGGGGGGGCAGTGATTTCTTTTTTTCTATCTCTGTCTTTCTGGTGAGCGCATGCGCCCTATAGCAAAAACCTCTCCCCCATCCCCCCAAAAAGGAATTATACTATGTTAAGTTAGTATGACAAGTTAGTAAAATACTTATCATTTAAGTTAAAATACTTCAGTTAATTTAAAGTTTTTCACTTGGCTTCTAAAGACAAAATTTGGGGGCGGGGATCTACAGGATTATTTTGTTCTATAGAAAAATTGTTTAAAAAATTGGATCATTAAAAAATAGTTGCTATATGAGAAGTCAAATTGCTTATTTAAAAAAACTCAAGGTTACAGGGCTGGCAGGTTGTATGGTTGGGATGCTGGACTCCCACATGGCCGACTGTGGTTCAAGTCTTGGACCTGGTGGCTTTCTCACTCACCATCTATAGTCAAATTGAATAATAATAAATTAAGTTAAATAATTCTAAAAAAACCCAAGGTTATGGAGCAGCAGGTGGTATGATGGTTAAGATGTTGGACTTCTACATGGCTAGCTAGCTCAAATCTGAGACCTGGTAGCTTGCTTTCTTGCTTTCTTTCTCTGTCCCTCTCTGGTCAAATTAAAATAAATTGACAACAAAACAAACCTTAGGGGCCAGAGTGAACAGAGAAAAGTGACTCAAAGTCCTGGCATTTGCATTCTGTGAGTTTTTTTTGGAGACTTTTCTATAGGGTGCTGTGCTTGTCAGAAAGACAAAGTGAGAAATCACCCCCAGGGAAAATGGCCATGCTGCAATCCCTTCTCCATTCTCTCAGGACTTTGAGCATGCTTGCACATGTGCCTAGTGTGTTTTAAGCCACTGAGTCCGGGACATAATCCATGGTTGACTACGTGGGAGTCCAGCAACATAACCGCTACGTCATCTGCTTGTCTCACCATTGACATTTATATTTATATATATAGTTATATATATATTTATATATTTATATATAGTTTCATTGTTCTCAAGTGACAGTCATAGACTTTGTGATTTTAGCATTTTCCTTGTTAGGCTTCCTTAACAAATTCTCAAACTATTCTACATAATATTTTTTAACAGTCCTTACTTCAAACTTATTTCCCCCCCCCCAACTCCAGTCTAAAGTGGAAGATTTTAATATATGGGGAGATGTATGGAAACATTAATTCAGGGTTAAGTTTCTCACCTCTAACTCCAAATGCTTTCTAATATTATAGTGGCTTTTACCGTAGGTGATTAATATGTAGTAAAGAGGTCAACTGGGAACTCTTCCACATTGGCAGAGCAATGACTTTAGCCTAAACTCTAGGGCCAACCTTTCAGTTAGTTCCTCTGAAGCATGGGGAAGATGAGGTTCCTTGGGCTTGACTTGAGAAAGATGCCTAATTCCAGAATTCCTCTAGTTACACTTGGAATGAGACGAGCACCTATAGCCCACCCAGACTCCTGAAACTAGCTGCTCAGAGCTTGCTGAGGAATGAGGTCCTGAGAGGTTCTGATCTGGAGGACCTGCCCGCGGGTCTATTCCCACTGCTGTTCATGGAGGCCGTTGCCACGAAAGACCAAGAAAGCCTCATCAAGGCCATGGTGCAAGCTTGGCCCTTCACTCACCTCCCTCTAGGGAATTTGATGCCAATACCCAATGAGAAGATCTTGAAAGCTACACTAGATGGACTTGATATGCTTCTTTTCCAGAAAGTTCATCCCAGGTAAGGATGTCCAAAGTAGCTGGAGAGAGGTCTTTGAGAGTTTAAGGAAGAGATGGGGAGCTAGAGGGAGTGGTGGGCCAAACTTGGACCAGAGACTTCTAATGGTGCCAGGGAGGAAGCTCAGGGGTCTTGGTCAGTGCTGAGCTCCGTCTGGGAGGTTTGAAGTTGGGACCTTGAATAAATTCCATGACCCCTGTTTTCCTACAGGAGGTGGAAAATGGAAGTGCTGGATTTACGACAAAATGCTAAACAGGACTTCTGTTCACTGGTCTGGTCTGGAGCCAGAGATGCCTGCTCTGCAAAAGTCACAAGGCAGACCATGGAGGGTAGTCCAAACATGGGAAAGAAACAGCCTTTGAAGGTGTTTGCAGACCTCTGCCTCGCAGAACAAGGCCTGAGTAAATTCCTCAGCTGCCTATTTGGGTGGGCCGAGCAGAGAAAAGGTTTAGTGCATGTGCACTGTACGATGCTACAGATTTTGACTACACCCATCCATCTTGTCAGGGAGATCCTACAGATGGTGGGTCTGGACTTTTTTGAGGAGGTGGATGTGTGCTGGGAATTTGGACTGACTATCTTGGCAGAATTTGCTCCTTACTTGAGCCAGATGAGTAATCTTCGCAAACTCCATCTTGGAAATATTGGTGTTATCCATTTTACTAACTACACTTCTCCGGAGAGGAAGGAGGAGTTAGCCGTCCAATTCATCTCTCAGTTCCAGAACCTGAACCTGCAGAAGCTCCACTTATGTACTCTTTCCTTCCTCAAAGGCCGCCTAGACCAGTGTCTCAGGTGGGTGAAGTTTCTCTGTAGCCTGAACAAAGCCTGTCATTGCTACAGAAAATATCAATGGGCATCCACCATGCGCCAGACACTGTCAGCATTGCAGTGCATGGGACATGAGGATGTCAAGGCATTGTCATTACTCTATTCCAAAGTGGGTACCACATAAGCCCTCAAAAGCGAGGCAGAGGGAGCACGTGGATGCTATGGAAAGGGATTATTAGCCTAGGAAGCTAGCTACGGGGTAGGGAGGGGGATCAGATCTAAGTGGGCAAGCTTGTGAATTCTTCAGGAAGTGGGTCTAAGTTAAGATGGAAGACAGGTGAGCAAAAGGGGCACCATGGAAAGGCCACAAAATCTGCATTTCAAAATAAGTTCTACTTATTAGCTCTGAACTGGAAGGAGACTGTCTCTGAAAGCTTATTTTGAGCTCCAGATAAGGTAATAGGTGGGCAATGCCTCTAGAGCTGAGGGTGGGAGAGTAGGAGTGGGATTGTAAAAGCAATTGTTGGGGGTTGACTGGTGTTAAAGATGTAGTGAGCCCTGCTGGCTGCAACCCCACCTGCAGGTGTTCATCACCTGACTTTCTCGTTTACACATCTGGCCCACAGATGTTGTATTCTGCTTGACAGCTGAGGCCAGGGAGCTGGAGAGGTTGTGAGAACTTGAGTCTGTCGTAAAAGCAATGGTGCAAGGGCTCAGCCTGAAGTGACTTCAGTGACCAGGTTCTCTGAGTGCAGCCTCCTGGTGTTGGCCATCATGGTCAGAACTACCTTGTGCTTGGGGGAAAAAGTCACCTCACCTTGGGACCAGCAGTTAGTGTAATGACTGTCTCTGGATTCCCATGTAGTTGACCGCGGTTCGCGTCCCGGACCCGGTGGCTTAAAACTCACGCTGGGGGGAACCAGCAGTTAGCGTAATGGCTATGTCGCTGGATTCCCACGTAGTCAACCGCGGTTCGTGTCCCGGACCCGGTGGCTTAAAACTCACGCCGGGCGCGTGTGCGTGCATGCCCAAGATCCCGAGAGGAGAATGGAGGAGAAGGGATTGCGGCGTGACCATCCCCCCTGGGGGGTGATTTCTCGCTTTCTGTCTCTATGTCTCTCTCTGTCTGTCTGGCGAGCGCACGCGCCCTACAGTGAAAATCTCTCAAAAAAAACAAAAAAAAACAAAAAAAAAACTCACGCTGGGTGTGTGTGCGTGCATGCCCATGATCCTGAGAGGAGAATGGAGGAGAAGGGATTGTGGCGTGACCATACCCCGGGGCATGATTTCTCGCTTTCTATCTGTCTGGCGAGCGCACGTGCCCTATAGCAAAAAACACCTCTCCAAAAAAATAGTCAACTCACCTTGGGGTCATTCCCCACCACTCTTGACTGGGCATCTCATTTTCCCAGGACTAACTATTTGTTTTCTCACCAGGTGTCTGAAGACCCCGTTACAGACTCTCAAGCTAGAATCATGTTTCCTTACAGACTCAGATATGATTTCTCTGTCCCAGTGCCTGTGCACCAGTCAGCTAAAGAGGCTGGATTTGAGCGGTACCTACCTGGCTAATTTAAACCTTGAGCCTTTCCAGCATCTGTTGGAGAGAGTTGCAAAGACCCTCACCTTTCTGATCTTAATTAAGTGTGGTATCACAGACACCCAGCTCAGTGCCTTCCTGCCTGCCCTGAGTCGCTGTGTCCGGCTTGAATATCTCGAGCTCTATGGGAACCCCATCTCTGAGGCTGCCCAGGAGAGGCTGCGGCACCACACGGCCAAGCTGAGCAGGTTGAGATTTGAGACCTATCCTCTCCCTATGATGGGTCACTACAAAAAGGGTGCTAGGCGAACAAGGTTTGTCCAGATTGAGAGTAAGCTATCAGGGACACCGGGGGACTTAGGGCAGTCCAAGATGGTCACCTACTATACCTACCCATGCTATGAATGTGGCACGTGGCAATTCTACCATCCGCAGTACCCTTTTTGCAAATGTATGTTTGACTAGTTGGTGCATATATCAAACTTTCTTCTAGGACCAGGTGTGTGGCTTAGTGGTTAAGACAGCTGGATCCCACATGGCAACCATAGTGAGTCCTGAACTTGGTAGCTTGAAATTTGCCAGGCACTTATGCATGCTTGCCCAGAATACAGGAGGAGGGAGAAATGGAGAAGGGATTGAGGCATCACCCCCCACCGGGGGTTGCTTTCTCCTCTCCCTCACGCTGGCAAATGCATTCTCCCTCTGGAAACTAAAAACAAAAAAAAATTGTCCCTAGAAACCTGGGTCATAGGCACATGAGGAGAAAGTGAGAAGGCCACACCACAATCCTTTCTTCATTCATGTGGGATTTGGGGTACCAGAAACTAAGGGAGTATGGACCCATGTTTTCAGACAGCTCAGTGTGAGTAGGGCAGGAGAGGTGATGGGGAGGGTCAGCACGGGGAGGGAAATGCTGACCTGCAGGTGATACCTTTGGAGACGCGTGTCCTACAGAGTCAGAAATAGGAATGGGACCTTCCAGAGCAAGATTCAGACCTGCCAGGCACATGGGAGGGCTACCCACCACAGCAAGGAAGTTTGTGAAGAAATTGTCCGAAATAAATGAAACCGTGCTCTTCCGCGTTCCGTGTTTTCCTTGTTTAAACCTAGGTCAATATCCGGTTAACTGAGAAAAAGCACTGGGCTGGCTGTGATGACTGGGTTCAGGGCCAGGAACTCAGAGCATCAGCATCAAGTGGTGTTGCTTTGATAACTCCTGCTTTTTATTCCTGGGCGTGTCAGCGGTTGCCCATTTCTGTGGCTGGTCTGTGGGTAACACGAGGTGCACACGCTGGGCCTGGAACATCATAATGTTACATCTGATCAGGGAGAAAGATAGTGGGTATCCAGGTATAGCCAAATTATAGGAGTCTTTATTGCTGGCTTCCCATGTTTCTCCAAGACCCCACAGCCCTGAGGGCAGGGAGTAGGGTGCTTATAAAGGCAAAGCCTACATTTGGGTTGACAGGCAGGAGCAGTAACCATTGAGTAGGGGAGGAAAGGGGAAAGAGAGACTTTGTGCAAGAGTTTGTACAAAGCAAAATTAAGCACGGTTACCTGGGGCATCTTTAGGGTGGGGAATTTCTAGTTCTTGCACAAACACAATGGAATCTTAGTGAATTTTAACTGCCCAAGGAAGAACAAGGGAATTTTAATGAACTTGGCTTGCCCAAGGAGGGGAGGGTTGTAAAAATGATAGAAGTGCTCTTGCTTCAGCAATGGGCCGTGAGTGTGAACAGTTGGAGTGAGCCTCTGCTTAGGGTCCTCATTGCTACCCAAATGCCCAGCCCCGGTTACTCCTAGGGGCTCCAAACAGATTCAGCAGTTTGAGTCCTGGCCTTTGGCTGTGCAGGGAAAGAGGAAGCCCACACTTCACTAGTCTGGGCCTCGTCAGTCCATACCTTCATGCAAGTGGACAGAGACAGTGAGAGAAAGAAGGCACCTCCAAGGGGTATGGCCACACCACAATCCTTTCTTTACTCTCAAGGGATTTTGGGTACCAGAAATGAATGAACAAGGTTGCTTATTTTCTCCAATCCTCTTCAACATAGTACTGGAAGTCCCAGCCAATGCACTCAGACAAGAGAGCAAAATAAAAGGCGAATGCCTTTTAGGAAGAGAAAGCTCAACTCCCTATTTGTAGATAAGATTACATTAATAGAAAAACCAAAGGAATCCACAAAACTAGAAGTAGTAAAGTAGCAGGATACGAGGTCGGCATACAAAAATCGATAGCATTTTTATACACTGGTTATGAGCAGACCTAGACAAATCGAAGAAAGCAATCCCATTTATAAGACGCCCTTAGTAATTTTTATTGGTAGCTTGCATACACTGTTGACTTTGTCTTTACCTCCTCCAGCCAGAAGGATCAGTGACTCTGGTTAGCATCCCCACCCTATTCTTCCTGGAAGGTGGGAGATCCCCAGGGCACCTAACTCAGCCTCAGCCAGTGTGTTCAATGGGATGCAGAGACACTCCAGCTTGCCAGACTGCATTCCTAAAAATAGCTGCTCAGAGGGATGGATCAGCTGTGTGTGAAGCTGCAAAGGGATCGCAGCCCTCCTCACATACATGCTAAAGGTTTGCATCATTAGGGAAAAGTCCTGGTATTTCCAACTAATTTTCATGAGGAGTGGCTATGCCATCTTGACCATTTTAAATATAGCTTTCTACAGTTCAGAAATATATTTAAAAACTCATTTGCCCTTGGGACCAGCAGTTAGCCTAATGGCTATGTCGCTGAACTCCCATGTAGTCGACCGTGGTTCAAGTCCAGATCTGGTGGCTTAAACTCATTCTCCTCTCAGAATCTCGTGTGCGTGCCCAAGATCCCAAGAGGAGAATGGAGGAGAAGGGATTGTGGCATGGCCATCCCCCCGGGGGGTGACTTCTCACTTTCTATCTTTCTGTCTCTGTCTGTCTTTCTGGTGAATACACACGCCCTATACCAAAAACCTCTCCAAAAAAATAAAATAAAATAAAATAAAACAAACTAATTTGCCATTAAACTATATCCAATCATATACTTTGGTAAGCAATGCAGTCTCCAGTAGGAAAAGAGAATTCAGATATAAAAGTCCAGGGACGCTCTGCGATGTATCCACAGCACACAGACACATTAATATCACACTTGAATATGAAACAATGTACTTTCACTTCTAGGTTAAATTTCCTGTTCATTCAGAACATCACTAGGCTAGACAGTACTGTTGCAGCATTGTACCTGGACCAGCATGAGAAAGGTTCTGGCTTTGTGCCTGAGGAACTGAGCATAGCATGCTCCTGACCCAGGCCAGTGGAGGCTGGGGGTGGATCATGGCGTAAAGACCCAGAGTCTCTCTCTCTCTCAGAAATAACTCAAAGAATACGATCACTCTATTTATTTAGCTACATGCATTTTTATAAATTTGTCGTAAGGTTAGATAGGAGTGATACAGTATGGCTGTTTAAAACCTGTGCCTCATGGGGCCAGCAGATGGCATGGTGGTTTAGGCATTGCACTCCCACCTGGATGACTGGGGTTCAAAACCTGACTTGGTGACTAAAGTCACACTGGGCCCATGTGTGCATGGCCAAAATCCCTAGAGGAGAATGGAGAAGGGACTGGCATGACCATCCCCCAGGGGGTGATTTCTCACTTTCCCTCTCTCTGTCTCTCTGGCAAACACACATACACGCACTATGGCAAAAACCTAAAAAACCAAACCAAAATTGTTTTGTATTTACAAAGTCTCAAACTTACACTTGAGACAGAAAGTGAGAAATCACTCCCCAGGGGGGTTGGCCATGCCTCAATCCCTTCTCCATTTTCTTCTCAGGACCTTGGGCACGCACGCACATGTGCCCAGCATGAGTTTAAGACCCCGAGTCCAGGACTTGAACTGTGGTCAACTACATGGGAGTCCAGTGACATAGCCATTATGCCAACTGCTGGTCTCATACTTGAATTCAATACTACAACACACACTAAACTGATATATTCATAAATACTTCCAGTATTTTGTGAATCAGTTAAACTCTACTGTATTTTATGTCCAAGCATTAATATTTTAAATCCTTTTAAAATCTGCATTCAGTAATCAGAAGTGCCCCAGGTCTAACAGTTTATAGGTCTGGGTTTTCCCTTGATCTAAAGTTATGTGAGGAGGGTCCTGTTGGCAGTTCTATTGAGGCCTCTGAGACATGATGGACCTTCCCTAGGTATCCAATTAGGGTGGGGATTTCTGATATAGTGAAACGATGAGTGGGATTCTGGATGGAGAGTCAGACTTGAGAATAAACTTAAACAGGAAGACCCCTGGACCAAAGTCCAGAATGAAGGTCACTCCTTAACATCGGGGCTCAGGCACTGGAATTGGTAAAGGAAAGCAGGGAGTTGTCCCAGAAAAAGCAAGAAGTTACAAAGAGAAAGCACAAAAAATCCAATAGTCAATCTTAGAGTAATATATAAAAACAATATTTTAAATAACATCCTTTTGGGAGGCTGTATCATATCGAGATTGGTTCTCCCCCAAACATCTTCCTTTCCCTCCTATCAAGGAAGATGAATAAAACCTGTCTGAACTCTGCATTTCATCCATACCAGGACTGAAGATGAATGAGGGACCTTATTGGTGGTGGGTGGACAGCCAGCGGAAGGCGCCCTGCTGGGTTGGGGGTTGTGGGGCAAGGGGCTTAGTTTCACTGTAAAATGAGGCTAATGACATACCCACCTGATGTGACTCTTAGTATTCAATGAGCTGATGCCCATTCAGGGTTTGATGAGGGGCCTGGCATGTAGGAAAAATGGAAAGCAATCTTCTTTTCCTTGTTTTTCCCTGTTAGCGGACAGCCCCCCACCCCAGCTCCCGCTAATAGTAATCCTTCCTTCTGTCCCGATAGGAGGGAGAGGGGCAGGAACGCAGGGCATATAAGGAGCACAGCCTTTACGTGGGGCTACCGTGTAATCGCGATTTATTCAAACAGCGGAGCTTAGCGTCCGTGGGCAGTGAAGGTGGCGCCCTAGCCCCGGAACATACGGTAAACATTTCCAAGCCGTGGGGTTCGGGCGCCACCTGCTGGTAGATCAGACCATATGACATATATTGTGAGAAGCAGGACTGTATTGCATGGAATTTTTAAAGATCTGCTGTTATTTAAATGTTGCTTCCTTTAAGTTTTTTTTTTTTTAATTGCCAGAGGGCATATACACTCACCAGACAGAGACGGGAAGAAAGTACCCCTCAGTGGGAATATGGGCATGTTACAATCCCTTCTCCATTTCTTCACCCTGTCAGGATTTGGGGTAGCATTACATACACAGTGAACCGTGGTCGGCTGTGAGGGATCTGGCTCATTTAACCCCTAGTCTATGAGCCAGCCTCTCTTAAGTTTAATAATATTTATGTTGTGTTTTAAGATACACATTACATTTTCAAATCATAAAGGAAATTTAATACTTCCAATAAAAAATAAATATAAGA